CTTTAACACATTATTTAGTAATTTAGTTTAGTAATTGAGTAATTTATAACTTTAAGGACATCCCTAAAGGTCAAGTTAATTTTATTTGTATGGCTCTTTTCACAATACATACATTGTTTTAAAGCAGCTTTACAGAAATTCATAATGGTAATGTTATAATACCTTAATGCCTTATAGTCAGATTTGGTAAAATTTTAGCTTACTTTTGAGCACAGTTTTGTCTCTAAACTAGAGCTTTTACTCAACACATACATGTGTATCTGAGTGTCTTGTGTGATTGTCTTCACAGTTTTATGAAAGAAAAGAAACTGATTTCACACATGAGCTTTTCCTTTAAAGGGGTGGTTCATTGCGATTTCACTTTTTTAACGTTAGTCAGTGTGTAATGTTGCTGTTTGAACATAAACAATATCTGCAAAGTTACGAAGCTGAAAGTTAAATGCAAACAGAGATATTGTCTTTTAAAATTCTGGCAGTTTAATGCCTACAAAAACGGCTGGTAGGGACTACAACACGTTACTTTCCGGGTTCGTGACGTGCCTAGAAAAAAAACAGTGAACCACCCCTTTAACACCCTTCTCTTTGTCTGTCTCTCTCTCTCTCTGTCTGTAGGTAGTGTTGGTGCGTTATATTGGGATCCGGTTCAGAGGTGGTTGTTTTCCGGAGCGTCTGATAACAGTGTGATCATGTGGGACATTGGTGGCAGACAGGGACGCACATTACTACTGCAGGGACACCAGTGAGAACACACACACACATGCTTGCCAGTAATAACCCGATGAATCACTGCCACATGTGCTACCAGGCTGTAGATGGCATAGAAACCAAGATTGAGAACTATTTTCCCATTTTCAGTTCCATTTCTTATAAAGAAAATTCTGAAAGTGAATGATTTTCATGACGTTCTGTTTCATTAATGGTCGTTGAGCATGTGTAAAATACTTCTATGATACACCGGTTCTGACATGTTTCAGCCCACACAATCAAAGATAGGGATGTAAGAGATAACACACACTCAACTGCCCCTTATCGCAAAATAAGTCACTTCAGGTTGAGACCTTTATGGGGTTTATTTTGCAATAATGACCGTTTGACTGTACTTTTATCTTCTTATTTCATAGATGCTTACCAAATAAGTAAATAAATGAATGTGAAGGATTGATTTGAGTTTGAATTATTCTATTATGTGAGATTAAAGAGACTGCAGAGTGATGTAAAAGTTGGGGGTCATTTAATAATTAATACTTTTATTAAGCAAAGATGCATTAATTTGATCGAAAGTGACAGACAGTAAAGATGCTTATTTACAAAAGATTTCCATTTCAAATAATACCGTTTTTTCTGTATTTTAATGCCATCTTGGTGAGCAAAAGAGACTTCTTTCAAAAACATTAAAAAACAAGATTCTTACAACAGTATACAGGAAGTCAGTTGTCTGGGACAGTCAGTCAATCTCTCTCTTTCTGTCTGACTCAGTGAGAAGGTCCAGGCACTGTGGTATCTGCCGCTGACCCATCAGCTGGTGTCCTGCTCTGCTGATGGAGGAATAACAGTGTGGAACATGGAGACAACACGAGAAGAGGTACTTAATACTTATAAATGCTTTAGAAATACTGATATAATACAAGCTCAGATGCACTCGCTGGTCAAAAAGGAAGTTGTTTCTCACACACACACACACACACCCTAAATATTAGAACGTATGATTGAACAAGTCCATGGCCAAATTGTTTAATCATGAAGCACTGAAGTTTCTTGCCGTCGCTATGGCAACCTCTGCATCAGTCATCAGTCACATCCATCTCTATAGTAACCGGAAAGCGACTCATACTCAATGTCATGGAGTCGTATGTGATCTCTCTTTCTGTAATTCTTTCTTTCAGGCTCCTCAGTGGCTGGACAGCGATTCCTGTCAGAAATGCAGACAGCCGTTTTTTTGGAATATAAAGCAGATGTGGGACTCTAAGACCCTGGGGCTCAGACAGGTACTGAGCGCAACAGTACAGTTAAAAATATAAAGATCCAAGTCTGTTTCTCCCCCTCTGACATAAATGTTCATAAACATTTTGATGCTCTTTTGGTCCTATGCATCTGTACTTTTAAGTTGCCTTAAAGTAATAGTTCACCCAAAAATGAAAATTTGCTGAACATTTACTCACCCTCAGGCCATCCAAGATGTAGGTGAGTTTGTTTCTTCATCAGATTTGGAGAAATGTAGCATTGCATCACTTGCTCACCAACGGATCCTTTGCAGTGAATGGGTGCCGTCAGAATGAGAGTCCAAACAGCTGATAAAAACATCACAAGTAATCCACACCACTCCAGTCCATCAGTGAACATCTGGAGAAGACAAAAGCTGCGTGTTTGAAAGAAACAAATCCATTACTAAGGTGTTTTAACTTTAAACAAACGCTTCTGGCCAAATGACGAATCCATAATAACGCATTCACTGCAGAGGATCCAGTGGTGAGCAAGTGATGGAATGCTACATTTCTCCAAATCTGGTCTGATAAAGAAACAAATGCATTTACATCTTGGATGGCCTGAGGATCAGTAAAATTTTGGGTGAAATATTCTTTTAACAAAGCATCTCAGTGCTTCATGACGCAATGCCCGTGTCATTTCCTGTCCCCAGCATCACTGCAGGAAGTGTGGTAAGGCGATTTGTGGGAAGTGTAGTTCTAAACGCTCCACGTACCCCATCATGGGCTTTGAGTTCCAGGTGCGCATGTGTGACGACTGCTACGACACAATCAAAGAGGAAGAGTGAGTTTTTACATTTTTTTTTCTCTTGTTTGTCTGTTTGATTCTGTGTTAACGCATCAGATGAATTTACTTATTCTTTTGTATTTGCATTTGCGTGCTGCAGTCGGACTCCTCTGGCTACGTTTAATGAAGGGAAACACAACATCGCTCACATGGACATGGACCTGAGCCGAGGACTGATGGTCACGTGTGGGAGTGATCGAGTTGTTAAGGTCACACACTCATGCTTCATCTCTTTTGTTCTTGTATTTTAGTGACTATAAATAGCATATCATCATACAATTAAGTGTTATTTCTGCAGAATGCAGTATCTGTATCAACACAGTATGTTTATTGTTATATGCATAGATTATCTAGATTACCTACTACATTTATCACACTGTTCAGTATATCAACAGATCACACTGCTTGGAACATCATTTCCCACAATTCAGTGCGCTTAACTTTTCATCTTTCACTGTGTCCAATGAAACAGAAATAATATCAGCTTTGATTTTTAACGTCCTCCCTGACTTGATTATTTGATTGAACACCCAGTTTAAATAATTTGTGACGAAATTACATAAAAAAAAAAAAAATAAATAAAAGAAGCTTTTTATTTCAAAGGTGACTACATTAAAGAAAACATTATTGTTTTGAGTAAAGCTGTTTTGGGGAATTAAAATAAAAAAAATTCAACTCAAATTAAAATAAAAAATGTTGCCATGGCAACTATCTGAAAAAATAAGTTTAAACTGAAGTGCTAAAATTACTAAAAGTAAAACTGAAATATTGATTAATTTAAGCTATATAAAAGTATTGAAAAACTAAAATGACAAAAGCACAACAAAATTACTACAAGTTAGACTAAACTTTAAATGAAAACTGAAAATAAAAATAATTAATTCAAAATATTAATAAATACTATAATATATAAATAATACTTAAATAACACTGCTAGTAAGGCATCATAGTGAAGTAAAATATTAATATTAGACAAAAAACCTAAATGAAAATTAGACATGTTGCCATGGCAACTAACTGAAATAAGTTTAAGCTGAAGTACTAAAACTGAAATAAAAATTAATTTGTCATATAGAAGTATTTAAGAAAAATAAGTAAGTAATAAAAATGACAAAAGCACATAACAGAATTACTCAAACTAAAATGAAAAATATAAAAAGTTCATTCAAAATATTATAATAGAATATAAATACTAAAATTACACTGCTAGTAAGGCATTATAGTGAAATATTAATATTAGACAAAAAAAATTAGAAATGAAATAACTAATTAAATAAGTTTAAGCTGAAGTATTAAAATTACTAAAACTGAAATAAAATAACACTGCTAGTAAGGCATTATAGTGAAATAAAATATTAATTTTAGACAAAAAACTGAAATGAAAATGATACATTTTGCCATGGCAACTAACTGAAAAAACTAAATTTAAGCTGAAGTACTAGAACTGAAATAAAATGAATTAATGCTGTTTAGTAGTATTTAAAATAATAATAAATAAATAATAAAAATGACAAGCACATAAAATTACTCAAATTGAAATAAAAAAAATGAATAAATAAAAAAGTAATTCAAAATATTAAATACTATAATAGTTTATAAATAATACTCGAATAATACTACTAGTGTGTTATAGACTATACTGTGCAGTAAGCATTTTATATTACTTTTATGCATGAAACGTATGCAGAATAAATTTGCTAATAATTTCATGATGAATGGTGTGAGGATTTCACATTTGTTCTGATTGTGTTTGATGAATGAAGTCTTCTCCCTTCTAATGATCTGATTGGTCTGTGTGTAGATCTGGGACATGACGCAGGTGGTGGGCAGCAGTGTAGCGGCGGGATTTTGTCCTCG